ACAAGGTTGTTGTGACGAAAATGCACTTCCTAGGTACATGTATATGAACGAACTGACAAGATTATCCGATACGCATGCCTGACGAGAGGCAAGAACCGCGAAACCGGTCATGTGCTTCCACGGCAACTTTTTCCAGTCACTCACGCACTACTTATTGTGATATATATATAGATATAGATATAGATATACATATAGATATATATATCGTAAGAAGTAGTATGTGAATGACTGAACAGAATATATATATATATATATATATATATATATATATATATGACAAACCCGGAACAAGGGGACTATTTTATCTCAACACGTAACCAATTACAGAGAACTGGAAAATGTGCCACAACATATGAAAAAGAAATCCGAAGAACATGTTTATGGGTTGTGTAGGCATGTTACTTCCCGGTTGCCCTAACCGAGGAAGGCGGATAACCTCCAGGTCCCCACCCGAAGCCTTTGGCTAGAAAACCAGACCTCCTAGACGACAGGACGGAGCTCTGAGTCCGCAATCTACTGAGGTCGGTATCCAGTTCATTGAATCATACGCCCTTTGAACGAAGTCATACGTCCAAGGTGCCCAATATACATAAATACCCAATTGAGCCGTTGACCACTGCCGTAACCATGAAGGTATGCGTGTGATTCGTACGCCTCTTCCTGGTTGGATTGGAATCAGAGTTTTTAACCAGCTCCCTCAGGTGAACTGCCAATGGTTTACCAATCCGGTTATAGCCCCGGATGTTGGCAGTTCGTTCCCTCAATTTGGTGGGAAAACACCTCTGCCACAAGAAGGCAATGCGTAGGGCTTCCTCAGCAGAGGCTATTTGAGACGCTTATAGGAGCATTTCGCGAGGTGTAAGGGAATGGTGATCGGTCACAATCCCAGACACCCACCCCGACGATACTGAGGCTTTCGATGACAAGGGGGTTGGGACATATAGGTAACGCTAGGCTTCTCGGTGTGGACTTCCGAATCAGTCGAATCAATGGTTAACGACTCTCAGCGGTCTAAGTGACGTGCACAATGGCGCCTGTGAATTTGTACGATTTCTCCGCAAATTTAATATAATTAATTTGTGCATTGATATCATGAAACCATCACTAACTCTTTACTTTTTTTCAAAATGGGAAGTCAGAAGAAAACTAAAACATCCTAACGGTTCCATAAGTTGTACCGAAATTGAAAATAAAAGTTTGTCATCTGTCAGATACTTGGCCATTGTCATTCGCTCCAAAAGTAATATTTATAGTGATATTGTTTAGGTACACAGCATGACAAACAGTAGAAAAGGTGAACGCCGTGGTCACGATGAACGCCAATTTGGTTGTGGGAACGAGCGACCCTAATTCTGGAAATAGGAGTGTTTTCTCGTGTTGAGCCGGACAACAGATAAGCTTTCAATGCCCATCTAAAACGCCTTCGATAGAAGATTGGAGTTTGAATCTCGAAAGCATTATACCAGTACACATCTGGCCGTATTCCGGAAAACTGCTTTTTCAACTCCAGTTGAACGGAAATGCCATTTCGTTAATTCTCTTCAACTTTGTCACACGTTGTAGTGGCATTGATGAATCGCGCGTGGAAAGACGGTCTACGATCTTACGTCCTGCCAGGTCTATCGTTAGTTTGGAAAGCAGAGGGAAGTCAATGCCGATGAGTGACTGGGGGGTCAACGATGATGAAAACCCATTGAATAATGCAACGAATTTCGCGGTTCAGTGAGTGAACATTCGCCGTAGGTTTTGATTGATGTTTGGTTTACGACGACCAGTACCGTATCCGATGAACGGCGTCAGTCCATGGGACGGAGGCACTTATACACTAGTGTCCACCAGGAACTGCATTCCTAATATTTCGTCCGTGGTGCAGAATGGGTGACGTAATTGGGTTAAACCCGACAGGGTCGTCGCCTGGGCCGGTGGGCTCATGAGTTTCCATGAATGTGACAAATAAGAGCATGGCCTGAGGCCCTCCTGTTTGTTCGTTTGCTAATTCAGAATACGATAATTTAGACCTTCGGCCGCAGGATAAATTGTCTAGGGGAATTGGTGAAAACCAAGCCCAAGCGCAGTTTTGGTTATGCGGATCTCGCACGACTCGCACACGCGTTACGTGCTACGAAAAAAGCAGTACCATCTACGTACCGGGAAAACCTATGCGCTGTACACGTTTTTCTACGTGTGGACAGGATCTGCTCACCCTTGCAAGCACCCTGCACCGGACCGCACAATCCGATCCCCAGCCTCACTATTACCAATCAGAATTAACAGAGGATGCTACGACGTTTATCTCCTTTTTTATCACGAAGTCTACGAGAATGGTACTCTCAAAAACCCAGAAGAACACAATGTCGAAAGAGCGACGCAAAAGATCAACCATCCTTACTCATCTAACGCCCGATAGAGCACTGTAGTGGCATCGACGACCACTTACTGACAGCTCTAGTAAATTCTATTACTGGTTCGTGCCCAGCCGTAAGTCCCACTGAAACACTTGCTTTCAAACGAAAAAAAGAGAAATTTCGAAAGTTTCCACAAGACCCCCTTTGTATTTACCTTCCCGGACGTGCAGAATAAATTGTGCGCGCACACACCCTCATTGAAGACTTTTTCGTCTTCCAGGTGGGAGGTCTCTAGTGGTATTGACAAGCCCCTCTGTGAATGCATTTATTCGGATAATTGTTTTAACGGACCAAGACCCCGCATTTACCGCGAATTCTGCACGCTCACACGAAGTCTTCTCTCTTCACCCAGCAGATTAGGACACTACAAACGACGTCGGGGTTTCATGACGTCAGTCGTTCCTCTTTGGGCCACTCAACCTTTAATTACAAAGCACATTTCGGAGAGCATTTTTCGCCCTACGCCTAGAAAACTTTTCGGAGCTGACTTTAGGTAAAATGAATATTTTTATGGGCAACAAAAATGCTCATACCGCGGGTATCACTTCCTTTTGGTGAAAGTGCGCAAGAAATGAAGTGTGCTGAACGCAATGTGTACAAGGTAGATCGTTATGGAGTGCGACTGGTGTTTTGAGGCCGTCAGAGGGCAGCTCCTGTAATCCTCGCTGTTTTTGGTCATTTGGATGTAGTCGACAAGACTGAAGTAACAAGTGACAGTAGAGGCAGGACAACACTGCGCATGGACAAATCTAGGCTGACCTCTGCAAATCTGAAACACGTAGCGTCACAACGACGTTTGCCTGTTCATTTGATAAAAAGAATGTTCACTCTATACTGAATTACGCCCATCAACATAAGGAACGGGTGGTGGGAGAATGACGCTCGGAGTTCTCGTCAGAAACATAAATGAAAGAAGACAAATGTCGCGAGATGTTAACATTTCGTTTGATCTTCTCAGTCGCTGACTTAAAATAAACAGGCACATATATAGCACATGAGATTAATCAA